CCCCCTGCGTACGCCACTGCACACACACGTGCGCGCGCACACACACACACACACACACACACGCACGCACGCACACACACACACACACACACACACAAAATGACACAAACAAACAAACAAGCAATATTATATATTATAATTATTATTTGTTTGGTTGTTTGTTTTTGTGTGTGGGAATGTTAGCGCGCGCGTGCGTAATATTATTAATAATATATCTTGATCTTGATAGGGTACACCGACAGTAACCTAACCAATTCTAGCCAGTAACAATAATATATATATTATTAAATATTAATACAATAACAATAACGATGCCGATGATGGAGCGAGCGCTGCCGCCGCTGCTATAATCCACGAACGTTGGCTATGGCGCATTATCCAGTGCAGTGATGTCATAATAATATTCCGTTCCCCTTCGATTCCCTCCCGTACCCTGCGATTGCCGGCACCTCCCCTCCGTACGGGGAGACCTCGGCGGTGTTAGTCAATACCAGCCGGCAGGGTGCGCTGGCGCGCGCAGGTAACAGGTTTTGAAAATCCTGTTTCCCATTGTTGGCGCCACCGTACGTGCCATAGGTGTGCCATCACTGCTAATATGGCGGCGTACATTCCCGAGTTAACGTTCTAAGATCGCTTACAAGTGTGTTTATATCTTTGTTCGCCGTTGTCGCAAATAGATCTCGGATTCGCGCACGTTTAGAATTCGTTTTCGGTGCAGTTTCCGCTTCCATCGTCGTTCGGGCAGGTGAGTTCAGGTGCGTAGATTGTTAGATTCTACTATAACTTCGCTGTACAGGTGTGTTTCAGGTGTGTGATGATTGATCACACAGGCACTTGAAGCGTTTCAACTGTAAACACACGCCGCCGCCATTGCGCGCACACTGACACATTATAGTCTATATATATAGTCTAAATATATAGTCTATATAGACTAAATATTTATGTGTCAGTGTGCGCGCAATGGCGGCGGCGTGTGTTTACAGTTGAAAAGCTTCAAGTGCCTGTGTGATCAATCATCACACGCCTGAAACACACCTGTACAGCGAAGTTATAGTAGAATCTAACAATCTACGCACCTGAACTCACCTGCCCGAACGACGATGGAAGCGGAAACTGCACCGAAAACGAA